GGCAGACATTGAACCTAATAATAATAAACAAAATAGTAGTAATAAAAGTAAACACTTAAGGAATATTTACCATGTGTCTCACAATGTTCGAAGTCTTTATGTGAACAAACTCATTTCATCATCCCGATAGCCCTGAGAGATGTACGTACTATTATTATCCTCAAGTTACTCTGGGGGACCTGAGACCTAGAGAGATCAGGGGACTTGCCCTGGTCACACTGCTGGTAAGTGGCAGAGCTCTGACCCTTGGCTACCCCAACCTTAACACCTACTGCCTTTGGCCCATCTGTTTCCTGCCCAGGTGTTGGCACGAAGACCAGAGTAGCTCCCAAGACAGTGTGGTGTGGGTGTAGAAACAGGGGCTGTTGTCTTTGGGTTCCAGTCCCAGCTCCACCTCTGCCCTGGCTGTGTGACCTTGTGTGTGTTACTTCACCTCTAAGCCTCAGTTTCCTCATCTGTAAAATGGGAACAAAAAGCCCTACCTTCCAGGATTGTTACATGGATCAAATACTGATACGTACGTTCTGCATGGAAGCCAGTGCATGAGAACAGCTAACTAATCAGTGACTATCTCCGGCCCTTACTCAGCCAGCCCAACTCTGCAGGGCCCAGAGGAGGCGGCCCCTGGCTTGCAGTCAGAATGAGAGGCCTGGGAGTAAGGGGACTTCGGAGAAAGGGGCAGGAAGAGGAAGTGTCCTTCTGTGCAGGGGCACTCAGGCCCTGGGCCCCCACCTGCTGAGGTGAAGCCTGAGTCATCAGCTGGAGCAGCGGGCAGGCACTGAGGCGGAGTTATAAGCAAAGCCAGCCCTTTGGGTCCTCGAAGTGTGCTTGCCAAATATGCCCTTTCTTGGGCCATCCTCTTCCTTGCCAGCCAGGGAGTCGCCCTCCTCCTCCAGGTCCGTGCCGGCTCCCCTCCCTGTGACCCTCACCCCTACCCAAACCAAACCGAGAGCAGCTGCAACAGGGCCAGTCTTGGCATGCATGGCGCATGGGCCCTTCACAACCCCTGCAGCCATGGGGGCCCTGAGGCCTGCTGAAGTCTGGCTGGTGTGGAACAAAGGCTACCCTGGACATCCGTCTTCCCCTGCCTCTCTGTGCCCTCCTTCAGAGGGCAAGGGGAGGAGGGCCGTGACATCTGGGGACACATCCTGTGTGGCAGACAAGTGCGGAGGACTTTATGTGCCTTTATCCACCGGATCCTTTCTTGCCCCTCTTGTGGCCACTAATGGATCCCTGTGCCTCCCCCACTCCCCGACACTCCCCGCCAACAATCTGTTCTCAGCCCAGCAGGCTGGCTGAACCTTTTGCAGTGTGAGTCAGATCATGTCACCCCTCTCAAAACCCTCAGTGGCTGTCCCTCTTAGAGGAAAAACCAGCCTCTAACAACTAGCAGTCTGACTTTCAGCAGGTTGTGTCACCTTTCTGCTTCATTTCTGCCCATAGAAACGCAGACACCTGCCTCATAGGATAATAGTGAATATTAAATGAATTAACAGAGGTAACTGCTTGGAATAAGGCATGGCTTGGGATAAGTGCTAAGTAAACATTAGCTTTATCATTAATGTTATTACAGTAGCCAACAGGCTCTTACACAATCTGCTTTCTACCTGGCTCCCTCTGCTGCAGCCATGCTGCAGCCTCAGTTCCTTCCAGAGCCAGGCACACTTCCGACCCCAGGGCCTTTGCACCTGCAGTTCCTCTGCCCGGAACACTAACCTCTCCACAAATATTACCTTCAGGCTCTTCCTGACCATTCTGTTTAATATCAAAACCTCCCCGACCCACCCCTCACCCCATCACTTACCCTGTTTTATTTTCCTCCATAGCATTTATCGACGTCTAGTACATGGCATTTCTTTCTTACTTATTTATCATCTGCCCTCCCACTACACACACTCACTCAAGTATAAGCTCTATGGGGACAGATATTTGCATGTCTCTTGTCCACAACTCTATCCCCAACACCCAGAACATTGCCTGGCATAGGTGGGAGTGCAGCAATTCTTTGCTGAATCAATGAATGTATCTTCATAGCGGCACCCTCATTTTATAGATGAGTTTTTTTTTTTTTTTTTTTTTTTTTGTGTTGTTCAAGGCCCACCTGTACATTTAATCTGCTGCCTGAATGAAAATATGAGGAAAAATAAATATTCTTTCAAGGTACCCTCACCAACACCCCCTTGCTTGCTTTCACTGAGACCAGTACTTTATTCTAGCATTTAACCTTGGATGAATTACTGGAATTTTAACCCATATTCTTAATTTTTTTCTTGATAGATATTACTTAGTCCTATAAAGGGCTTCACTAAAGAATCCATCAAATATAGATTCAGTGTTCTATGAAGCTGCGGAAGGTTCACTAAACCTGTGTGGTCCTGAATAGAGATTATCTTTTTTTTTTTTTTTTTTTTTTTTTATAGAGGAGCTTTGAAGGAAAGACTCAGTGAGGCTGGGAGCTTGCTTGAGGCTGTGGCTTGAGGGATGGAGACTGTTTGCCTCCAGAGCCCCATTCTCTCCCTGCCCGTGTGTCTAGTGACCTTCTGCCTGCCACCCGCACCCATCCCTGAACACAGTGCTTTGCTCTGAGTGCGGAGGGTGCTCCAGAAGTATCAGGAAAGCACGAACGTATTTATCTTAGTCAGCTCAGGCAAATACCACAGACTGAGTAAACAGTGAAACTGTTAAACCCTTCTGCTAAACAACAAATTTATTTTCTCGCTGTTCTTGGAGGCTGGAAGTCTGAGATCAGGTGCTGACATAGGCAGGCTCTGGTAAGGACCCTCTTCCTGGCTTGCAGACGGCTGCCTTCTCACTTTGTTCTCAAGTGGCAGAGTGGGAGAGCAAATGCTTCCTCCTGGAAGGCCACAGGCATGTTGGATCAAGAAGACCTCATTTAACCTTAATGACGGTCCAGAGACCCTATCTCCAGATACAGTCACATTGGGGGTTAGGGCTTCAACATATGAATCTGGGGGAACACAGTTCAGTCCAGAGCAGAATTTCAGAAGCCATTGAAAAGGGAGGAGAAGGGTCCCAGCAGGTGGCTGCCTCCCATTTTCCTGTGGGTGACGGGGCCTTGGGAATGCGTCACTCAGCCCTGTCCCGGGTCTTCTGTGAATTGGCAGAGTGATGAGCACAATCTCACTTGATCCTCGCAATAACCAGACGAGGTTGGTGTTATCACCCTCATCCTACAGGTGAATACACTGACGCTCAGAGAGGTGAGCTTACTTGCCCAAGGCCCCGCAGCTGAGAAGTGGCAGGTCTGTGTTCTTAACTACTCTGTGAATTTCCCTTGCAACTCTCTGGGGACATCTCTCTCATCCCACAGGACTGAGGGACCATGGCCCGCCCTCTAGGAGCCCAGTGTCCCCTCCAGACAAGATGAGCACACGGGGTGTGGCTATGGAGCTAAGTGCCAAGCGCGTGGCCAGTCAGCAAGTGCGGGAGGAACTCCGACGGCAGTGTGGGCTGGGCTGGTCACCAAGGGTGAGGCAGGTTCAACCAGTGGGCACTCCTGGGAGAGCTGCACAATCTCCTTTCCAGGATCATGCAAAACATAGTAAGGCAGTAGGCAGTGAGCTCGGTGTTCACCTCAAGCGGAGAGGCTGAAGGGCAGAAGTGGTGGGAAGGCCAAGAAGATGGTCAGGGGTCAGGTGCTGGGGGGCCCAGGAGGTGCCTGCAGTTCCGCAGAGGGTGGTATTCGTGTGTTCTTCCTCCACTGGGGGAAGAGTTGGCACTAGCAGGATGTCACCTCGGAGGTCCACAGCTCCCCTCAGTATCTGGCTGGGCAGAGAGGGTCGGTGCAAATAAAGAACGTGGTTGGGGTGAGGCACACAGCAGAGGACAGAGCTGAGCTCCTTTCCTAGGGGAGGTGAGACGGTAGCTGTCAGCCATGCCAGCGACCCTCCCGCTGTAGCCGCGGCCTCAGGAAGGGTCCCGGGGCTGGTGGCACCTTCAGAGATTCGCCAGCAACTTTTCAAGCCCCTCCCAAGAGGGTGTGTCCAACCGGTGATGTGCTGATAAATATTTAACAACTGGCTCTCTTGGGAGGCGGGTGGGGTGCAGCACTGCTTTGTAACATTTGATGATTTTCATGGTGTAAAAACTCACAGTATGACTGATATCAGCTACCAATACGGTGTCACTGAACACAGAGCCGGGGAGAGTCGCGCTGTTGGCTGTCATGAGCCCATCTGAGCCCTGTTTCTGGCTCCCCCAAGTCCCATGGCTCCAACAGTGACATTAGCAGGGGCCCTGGGAGGAAGGAGCCAGCCACTCTGAGTGTCCCAGAGCCTCGGGGCTCTCAGTTCCAATTGGATCTTCCCCTGGAGGGCACCTGGTGTCTTATCCTAGTCAGCTCCAAGCACGAGGTCTGTGAGAGTCCCTAAGCCATGCTCCAGCTGTGGGTGTCAAAGTCAGAAAGCACCAAGGGCCCAGAGATCCTAAGTTAGACCCACATCCCAGAAGGAGGCTGTGGAGCAGCTGAGCCCAGAGGCAATGCGGGTGTCACGTGTAGGCGGCAGGCCTGGCCTCACCAGCCTGGTACCCACACCCCATTTGACTGCCAGTCTTCAGGACCACTTGTCAAAAGACCCACCTCGGGATCCTGTGTCTTCTTGCCCTCCTTCTGCCTCTCCTGGGGTCGACCCTAAGGGGCCAATATGATGACTCACGGGGCTGAAGGTACCTGAGGGGAAGGACCACAGATACCCACTGTGTGGCGGCTCAGGGGGCTGGAGGAGCCAGTTGTGGAAGCCACTGAAGGCCTCTTGTGCCCACTTCCACTGGTGCAAGGGTTGGGCTGCCTGGTGGTGGGTGACTGACCAGCTGAGGCCTTTGCCCAGATGTGGCACATGAGTTGGTGAGGATGAGTCTGAGCTGGTGTCCCCAGGGGCTCCCCATGTCAGCGTGGGCCCCTCAAGGTTACTCTTGTCGTCCCGAGAAACCTCACCCCTTCTCTCTCCTGGTTGCCCCTCCTTCCCCACCGCCTGCTATAGGTTTTTCATCATCAAAGAGAGCTTTCTTCTTTACTACTCTGAGAGTGAAAAAAAGAGCTTTGAAACCAACAAATATTTCAATATACATCCTAAGGTGAGGGGGCCTCTCCCCAGGGCCACAGCGGGGGAGGGCCCAGTGGGGACAACGGGGGCTGGTATCCTCTGAGGGTAGGGTACCATCTGTTGTCCTGCTCTGGTCAGGGAGTCTGGAAAACAAGTCCTTCTGGGGGCACAAGCCACCCTGGCCCCCTCCTGGCCTGGGTCCCTGCCCTCCAGTGCCCCCTCTGGGAAAGTTCTGGTCTGGCTTCCTCTCGGGCCCTGGGCAACACCTGGCTATGGCTGAGGGCTCCCAGAGGCCTTGAGTGACCTGGGCTGGGCGGGGGTGGGGGTGGGGTGGGCGCCTCTAATGATTCTTTCTCAGGGTGTCATCCCTCTGGGGGGCTGCCTGGTGGAGGCTAAGGAAGAGCCCAGCATGCCCTATGCCATGAAAATCTCCCACCAGGATTTCCACGTGAGTAAGGCTCTCCCCTTGGCCTGGGTTCAACAGGGGCAGAGCAGCTTCTCTGGGACCCCAGGCTCCCTAGGGGCAACCCCTCCAGTGGGCTGGCCTGGGAAGAGTGTCAGTGACTTGCGGATGTCGGGAGGGAGAGCAGAACAGGGCCTGCAGAGGCCTGGCCGTGGCCTCCATGGTCCTCAAGGTGGCCTCCTCTCAGGCACAACCATGGCTCCTCTTCCTGGCAGGGGAACATCTTGCTGGCTGCCGAGTCGGAGTTTGAGCAGACCCAGTGGCTGGATATGCTGCAGGAGTCTGGGAAGGTGTAAGTGCACACGGGCAGGAGGGGTCAGCCTGAGGGTCCAGAAGGGGAAAGGGTGTGGGCTGTGCCGACCCTGATCTCCCTGCTTCTCTGCTGGGATCCCGGTGGGCACTGAGCATCCTAGGAGAGGGCAGGGTGGGGAGGACAGGGCTGTGGGAGCTGGTTATTGTGGGGAGAGGAGACAGACCAGGTTTCGAGCATCTTTGGGGGGTCTCCTAAGTGAGCTTTGAGCAAAGTGTGTTTGCTTGTCTAGCGTCACAGGTGGCAGACGTGGGCACCGTTTGTCTCCAACTCTCAGGAACAAACCCAGCATCGCTAGGAGGATTTGGCTGCCTCCTGACACCCGTCTCATCTCCCCAGGCCCATAATTAACCCTAGCTCAGACCAGAGCTGGTGCTTTGTACATCAGAGTCCAGATCACAGAAACCTCCAGCCCAGCACTATCCATTTGCGCACAAACCCCTGTCCCAGCACCTGCCTATTCATGCTGTGTCGTGCTTTTAGTTCCACAAATAATGCTGAGTACCTGCCCCGTGCCAGGCCTTGTGCCAGGTGGTGGGCATTCAATGGTGTAGAAAGCAGTCCAGGAAGCAATCTCTTCCCTGCTCCCAAAGTTCTGTTGGCCCAGCCCACGGTGGCCCACTTTGCAGCCTGGGCCAGCCTCCGGGGACTGTAACTGATCGATGCTGGTGGCGTGCCCAGAGCCGCGGGTGCCGAGGTGAATGCGAGCTGGGATTCTGGAGGAGAAAGAATGGCGAGTACACACCATGCACATTCTCTTTCTCCTCCGCCCTTTTGTTTTAACGATTTTGTGTTTCTCTCCTGTCCCATCTGCCCTCCCTCCCCAGGACTTGGAAGAATGCCCAGCTGGGAGAAGCCATGATCAAAAGCCTAGAGGCCCAGGGGCTGCAGCTGGCCAAGGAGAAGCAGGAGTATTTAGGTTGGCTGAGGGATGGGCTGGAAACTGAGGGTCCCCGACGGTAGCATTTCAGGGCCGGGGGCTGCAGCCCAGGGCTTGATGCAGGACTGAGAGAGCGTGTCTTGGGTGGGGCTTAGCAGGCTATGAGGAGCCAGAGACTGGCTCGGAGCCTGGAGGGCTCTATGGCGTGATACATGTCCTCTGGGCCAGCGTGACAGGAGGCAGGAGAGCCTGATGGTTAGGAGCCTGGCCTCTGGACCCAGCTTTGTCATTTATCCATCAGCTGTGTGTATCTTTAGGCAGCTCAGCCTAAGTTTCAGTTTCCTCATCCTTAAAATGGAGACATTTTTGTTCCTAGCTTTTAGAGGTGGTATGAGGATCAGGTTAAATAAGAAAATGCCTGGAAGCTCTTGTGTCAGGCATGCGGTAAGGGTCCCACTAATGGAATTGATGTTATCCTGCCCAGGGCCCCAAAGGTCTGGACTTGGTCCCAGTTATGACCCCCAGCCCACTTTAAGGTTCTAGGCCCCTGTGTTCCTGACTGGCTGGTAGGCACGCTCTGTTTGAGAAAGAAGGAGGTGAGCCTGGGAAGTCGGTCCTTTGCCTGGGACCCTCTCCCCTGCTTAGACAAGTGGGGCCCCAGCACTGGTTCCCCTCTGCCTGCTCCAGACACCCTCTGCCCCCAGAACCTGCCCTGCCTCACTAGCCAGACACCAGCACAGAGGTTAGCAGCACCCCGGGGGTGCAGAGACCCACCTGAGCTTCCAAAGATGAGCTGTCATTGTCTTATGAATGCACAAAGCAGGGACAGTGCCGGGACAGGAGTGTAGCAGCTCAGGCCAGCGTGGAGCTTCCATCCCCGGGAGCTGCCCCACCCCCTCTGTCTGGCCTGGGCACGGCAGTGCCGACCTCTTCCTTGGGAGGAGCTGGGGGTGATGGAGGTGATCGCAGGCACTGACCCCTCAGGACTGGATCTGGAGTGAGCTTTTCGTGACAGCGTGTGTGCTTGCTTTGGCAGACAAACTGATGGAAGAGACTGAAGAACTCTGCCTTCAGAGGGAGCAGAGAGAGGTAGGGGCACATCGAGGCTGCTCCCCGCCGCCTCCCGCTCTGTGGGCCCTTTCACAGCCACAGTGTACTGACTTGTGTTCCTGGCATTAGGGAGTGGTGTAGGGGAGATGGGCACCCAGACAACTCGCTGGGAAATCAGACGCGCAGAGCAGGGAGGCCAATGAGATGACAGTGCTTGGGACTTGGTGTTGCTTCTTGGCAAGAAGTGTATTTCTCCTTGCCAGTCCCGGGGGAGGAAAATAAAAAGGGTGGGTGATCACTTTCTAGAGAAAGGGCCATTCAAAAATTTTATAAGCTGTGTCAGGAGGTAATGAGCTGCTTGTCACTGGTGATACTCACAGGAGGCTGCGGTGGCCTTTCTCATCCATAGCGGGGCTTCTGGCACCATAAAGGTGATTGGGTTGGATGATATCAGAGGTTCCTTCATCCTCTAAATGTCAACATACAAGTTCTAAGGAGGCCAAGCATTGGCTGGGGGCAGGCTGTGGTGTGAAGGAGACCCTTGCCTCATTTGAAGACGGGGGCTGCTGAAGTCCATGCCGTTTGGCATCTCCATGCAGCACTGGGCCTTGCCTGTTCTGAGAAATCACGACCACCCCTGAAGGGCAGGGTAGGATAGTGGTTAGTGGTGCTGACTTGGAGTCAGGCTGCCTGTGTCTGGATTGGACCTTTGCTGCTTCTGGCTGTGTGACCTTGGGCAAGTTACTTAACCTCTCTGAACATTAATAGTCTCATGTGAAAAATGGGGATAATAATAGAACCCATCCTATCAGGGATGTTTTGAGGATTCAGTGAGGTGTTACACAGAAAGTGCTTAGCACATAGTACGTGCTTAATGAACATTTACATTTGTTAGTGTTATGATCATTAATTAGCCCATCCTGCACTTGAACTGCCTGGGCCCCAAGCCCCAGAGTGGCATACGCTGAGGTGCCTGCAGAGGGAGGGCCTGATTTGGTCCACTTCTCTTTGCCTGGTGCCTGTTCCTTGTCTCTCCCAGGCAGGTCCAGGGCTGGGCCCGTCAGCCTGGGCTCAGTGCCTGCCTCTCTGACTTGACTCTTGCAAACTTCTCACCCTTTCCAACCACCCGTCACTGGGCTCGGAAACGGGCCCGACAGTCAAGAAGCATCATGGCCCTGTAGCACCCCAAACGCTCCGGGGCCTGGCAGAGCACCTGGCCCAGGATGGGTGCATGATAAATGTTGTGGAATAACTCGATGAATGAATATTTTTGATTCTTATAATTTTACATTACATCTTGATTTTAATCCAGTAGGACAATCCACCCTCATTTTTCTTCTTCCAAAAATTTATTAGATATTCTTGCCCAATTTTTCTTCCAGCTGGACTTCAGTATCATTCTGTCAATTACAAAACAAACGAACAAAAAACCCAAACCCAAACAAACAGAAAAGAAAATCTATTGAGGATTTGTATTAGGATTGCATGGATCTGAGGATTGGCATCATGAGGGCATTGAGCTTTCTCCCCCCAGCAGTGTGTGGGCCTCTGGGTCCGGGCTGTCATCTGGGTTCTTCCCACATTAGAATTTTGGCATTTTCTTCATACAGTTCTGTACATTTTGAAAAGTAAGACTTTTGGTGGATTGTCAGCAACTTAAAAGCAGGTAATTTAGGAAGCCAGGGGATGGGATGGAGTGACAGACACAGCCGCTGGCAGAGAGAGACAGACTTATCCATCAGAGAGACTAAATCTGGGACAGCAGTCAGCCCGAGGAAAATTTAGACACTCTATCTAGGTCTTTAGCCAGGAAATGAGGCCAGCAGAGACCCACTGCTCACAGACATTGCTTAAAGCCATAGCACGCTGAAGGAAGGAGACCTGCCACCTGTGAACGTCCTGGGTCTTGGGTACAAAATGTGAGCAAGACTGACTTGGGTCCAGCTTGGGTCCACCTTGGTGAAGGCTGCTCTGGGCTGGCAGGAGGGAGAGGATGCGCTCAGGTTCTCATTTCAGTGTCAGCCGTGTGCTCTAGATTGGGACTAGAACTCACGGAGTGATTCTGTCAAGGGTTTTCCTGCCTTAACTTGTTCATCTATATTATGGATCCACCTGCCCCCTTCACCTTTCCCATCTCCACTCCAGGTCACAGGGATGGTCCGGGAGTACCTTGCTTGGGCCACTTAGAAAGGCATTTGGTACAATGGCCCAGTGAGAAGTTGAAGATTCTCTGGTCTCCAAGAGGCAGTCTGGTTTAAAAGGAGACTCAGGGTCTGGTACCAGTCTATCACTGACTGTGTGACCTTGGACAAATTCGGCTCTGTGATGCTCCAGTAAGAGCGATGGCTGTGCCTGGCTAGCTCCCAGGTTGCTGAGGGGCTCAGTGAAATAGAAGCCGGGGAGTGCTTTGTGGACCGGTAAGGCCTGTGCAGATACGCACTGTGTGATGGTGCAGCTCTGACATCCTCCACTTGGCAGAAAGGGCGGAGAACTCTTGGGGTACGAGCTGAGAGTTCAAAGGGAGCCATCCTGGGCTCTTCTGCCCTGGGGTCAGAAGACAATGCCGTTCCTTGGGTGCAGGTCCCTCAGTTGTCCCTGGCTCCCTTATCATCACTCTTATCCCCTGGAGGAGGGCCAGCCTGCCTACCTTCCCTTTTCTGGTTGAACTGTGAGAGCTCAGCCTTGCATGTGGGCAGGCACATGGGAAATCAGAAATGCCCAGGGCCAAGTCAGGCAGGGTTCCTGCCATGCGGGGTGCTCCCAGTCAGAACTGACTCTTGGAGCTGGAAAGGACGGCCCCTTTCAAGGTGAGGCTCTCTGCCGACCTCCCTGACGGATACTGATCCTGATTCTGGTATGGGCAGCTCACTACCTCCGGAGGTATCCTTTGCATCATTGCTCCACTATTTGGAAGCTCTTCCTTCCATGGAGCTGGAATTTGCCATCTAGTGCCTTCTTTCCAACCTCATACTTTGGCAACTTAAGTCAGGTGCAAGAGTCAGAAGCACAAGCATGATGTGGTGGAAAAAGTCTTCAGCTGCAGGGGGTCTTAGCTGACCTCAGTCATGGCAGCGGTGCCTCAAACAGTCATGCCGTCTTGGTCTGCATGAACAGAAAGTTCTGGCTGCTTCAGCTTTACAGGTTGTGTGTTCCACTCCAATCAGCATGCTTAGGCTCTACCTGGACATCAGCTTCATTTAAGAATCATCCAGATGAAATGGAAGGTGGAAAGGAAGGGAGCAACCAGGAAGGAGATTTTCTTTCTTTTTCCTCTTTAATATAGAACTTTAACCCCTAATGGTAGAAATTGTGCTCTTTGTAGAAAATTTGGAAAACATGAAGAAAACATATTCTATCCTTAACCCCACAACTGATCGGTAATTACTGTCAACTTTTTCTTTTTAATTTATTTTATTTATTTAGTTTTGGCTGTGTTGGGTCTTCGTTGCTGCACACGGGCTTTCTCTAGTTGCGTCGAGCGGGGCTGTTCTTCGTTGCGGTGCGCAGGCTTCTCACTGTGGTGGCTTCTCGTTGCGGAGCATGGGCTCTAGGCCCACGGGCTTCAGTAATTGTAGCTCGCGGGCTCTAGAGCGCAGGCTCAGTAGTTGTGGCGCACGGGCTTAGTTGCTCCACAGCATGTGGGATCTTCCTGGACCAGGCCTCGAACCCGTGTCCCCTGCATTGACAGGTGGATTCCTAACCACTGCGCCACCAGGGAAGCCCCTACCGTCAACTTTTTGGTGTTTTTCCTTGGTCTTTTTTCCTATTTAATATTCTTATATATATCTTAAACATAATAGGATCACATCAGATATTCAGTTTTATGGCCTTTTTCATGATACCTTTCATTTCACCTTCATTAACACTGTACCTTCAGCAGTCTTCCATGTCATTGAATGTTCTTTGAAAACATTAGTTTTAGTGACCCCGGGGTCACTAATCGGACTCTTCCCTTTCCTTTGGGTTTTATTCCTTCTCTGATTCTCCTCAAAGCCAAGGGCAACTTCTCCCTACAGGCAGCCCCACTCCCTGGTGGGGTTTCCATTTCTTGAGAACAAAGCCCCAGGGTGAAGAATGAGGGCATAATTTGGAGCTAGAAGATGAGAGAGAAAGTGGATCTAGAAATAATATCCTCCCACAGCGTAAAATGTGGAAGAACAAAACAGTTGTCACAAAATGCTTCTAACCACCCTTCGCTTGAAGTGCACCCCTCAATACCACCTGCCACTGAACCCCAGGAAAACAGAACCCCTGGGGGGCACCTGCTTGCTGGGAAAACACTTGAGCTCGCCGGCAATCCTGAAGGGACTGGTCTGGTTCCCTGGGCCAGCTTGTCCTGGGCTTTCTGGCTATACTGTTCCCTTGGGGGTGAGTCCAGGGGAGGCTGCAGCCATCTGTGCTCATTGTTTCCCGGATGCCTTGAGGAAAAAGGCTTTACTCTCTGACTTTGGAATTGGGAATAGCTTTCCTTCGCAGCTTCTAACAGATGCCACTCCAGGGGTCTTTAATGGAAATATACACACACACATTTCCCTCCAGGGCTTGGGGGCTAGCCAACACGCCTTAGGGTGTGAGTGACTGGAGTTGCCCAGTGGAGCAGACATCTAGAATTATCATCACATCCTGTCGCAGGAAATAATGTTGGGATCCTTTCTAAACCCTAGCTCAGCATGCTAAGTGTGTTCTTGTTTTGTTTTATTTTTTATTAATTTATTTTTGAAATTTTTATTGTAGTATGGCTGATTTACAATGTTGTGTTAGTTTCAGGTGTACAGCAAAGTGATTCATTTCTATACACACACACACACACACACACACACACACACACACACATATGTATGTATATATATTCTAAGTGCGTTTTAAGTGAACCCAGTTCATCACAGATCTCGGTTTCATTGAGACTGTGTGTCACTGAATGGGACCAGGGCTCCTCAGGGCTTAATTCCAAGTCTGGTGCAGACTGTGCTGAACCCCAGAGGGTCCCCTGGGTTAGAGTGAGGCTTTCTGACCTCAGGAGCCCTTTGCTGCCTGTGACTCTTTTCTTCCTCTCTGATTCTCTTTAGGAGCTTGAGCGCCTGAACCAGGTGCTGGAGGCCGAGAAGCAGCAGTTTGAGGAGGTGGTACAGGAGCTGAAGATGGAACAGGAGCAGATCAAGAGGTGGTGGTGGGGCTTCCCTGGTGGTGCAGTGGTTGAGAGTCCGCCTGCCGATGCAGGGGACACGGGTTCGTGCTCCAGTCTGGGAAGATCCCACGTGCCGCGGAGCGGCTGGGCCCGTGAGCCATGGCCGCTGAGCCTGTGCGTCTGGAGCCTGTGCTCCGCAGTGGGAGAGGCCACAGCAGTGAGAGGCCCGCGTACCGCAAAAAAAAACAAAACAAAGAGGTGGTGGTGGTGCCTGGGGGCAGGGGGCGGGGGCAAGGTGCACCCAGGCTAGGACACGTAGGACCCATGTTTCCTGTTAGGCTGGAGAGGCCTCCCCCCAGGAGATCCTCACTGCTTGATGACTTGGTTTGGATCTGTCCTCCCAATGCTCCGGGCCTTGGGGTGTGCCCAGAAAAAGCTGCAGACCCCACACCGATGGGCCACTTCTGCACCCTGGAGCATGAGGCATGGGCAGGTGCAATCAGAGATCACCATGAGCAATGACCCCCTCCTGCCTCGGGCAAACCTCCCTTACCCGGGGCAGACAGGTCAGGCTGGTCTGGAGGTGCCCTTGGCCAAAATCCGCTACATTCCCTGTCTTTCCTGCACAGTCTCTTCACATTCTGGCTAATGATGTCTGTCCATTGGGATCTTTAGTCTGTGTATGGTTTGCACACAAGTTGCATATTATAATCATCTAAGAGGATTAGAATGTGCTGAAGTTAGGACCCAGAAATCTATACAGTAAGTCCCCTACACATGAACGAGTTCCATTCCAAGACCTTGTTCCTAAGTCCAATTTGTAAGTCCAACAGATTTAGCCTAGGTACCCAACTGACCCAATTGGCTGTATAGTACTGTACTGTAATAGGTTTATAATACTTTCCACACAAATAATACATAGAAAACAAACACAGAAAATAAAGAAAACTTTTTCGATCTTACAGCGTAGTACCTTGAAAAGTACAGTAGTACAGTACAACAGCTGGCATGCAGGGGCTGGCATCGAGTGAACAGGCAAGAAGAGCTACTGACTGGAGGAGGGAGAGGAGGTGGGAGATGGTAGAGCTGAAGGATCGTCAGCAACAGGAGATGGAGGACAAGCTGCAATTTCACTCACACGTGACGTTGATGGCACAGGTTCTGGTTCCTTGCTGGATTCAATTCTATCTACCCTCTTGAAAAAACGATCCAGTGATGTGTGGGTAGTAGCTCTTTCCTGGGCTTGAGATAAAGATACTGTACTCTGTACTCTATACAGTGCCGTACAGTGAAGTACACAAAAGCACAACCATTTGTAGAGCATGCACGCACGTGACAATGTACGCCAGACACGTAAACTAACTTACGTGATTGGATGTGCGAATGCATGTTCACATCTTTGAAAGTTTGCAACTTGAAGGTTCGTATGTAGGGGACTTACTGTACTTTAAAAAGTTCTCCAGGTCGTTACTTTTTCTTTTCCTTTTTTTTTTTTTCTGCGTTGGTTATTCATTGCTGCTCCCGGGCTTTCTCTAGTTGTGGCGAGCGGAGGCTACTCTTCATTGCGGTGCAGGGGCTTCTCATTGCGGTGGCTTCTCTTGTTGAGGAACACGGGCTTAGGTGCTCCACGGCATGTGGGGTCTTCCCGGACCGGGGATCAAACCTGTGTCCCCTGCATTAACAGGCGCATTCTTAACCACTGTGCCACGAGGGAAGTCCCTCCAGGTCATTCTATGTAGCCTATCCATGAATTTGGAGACAACTGCTCTGGTTACTGTTCATGGTGCTGGTTGTTGTCACCATCACCATCATCATCATCACCAGCACCATCATCACTACTGATTATCAGTGATAGCCCAGAGAGTGTTCTTGAAACAACTTTATAAAAGAAAGTCATTAGACATGTGTTTTGGGGATGGAGCTCAGAGACTCTCATCAACTAATAGCCAAGAACCTGCTCACTTCCAGAATTGTGCCAGACCCTGGAATGGAAGATAAGCCCTCTCTCCCTTGAGGATCTGGTTGGGAAAACCAGACTCACACCCAGGAAACATCAACAATGTTTACAATAATGTACAAACAGGTGCTCAAGGGCACAGCACAGACCCCCTGTTTTATGGGGATTAAGATATATGTGTGACCCCTGTGGGCTTCAACAGAGGTTAGATTGTGCTGGGCCTTGAAGGGTGGTAGGAGTTGGAAAATGGGTGGGAGAAGGAAAAGGCATCACAAGCAGGAGGAAGGGAAACCGGGTGTAAAGGCCCAAGGGGACCCAGGCTTGTTAAGACAGCAGCAAGGAGTTTGTCACCCCAGAGAAGGGCCTCAGCCATGTCCCATGTCAGAGTGAGCAGATTGTAGCAAGGGCTGTCCAGGGAAGACAGGGTGAGGCCATTGTTTCTCCAGTGCTCCTCTTTGCCCTTGGGGTGGCCCTGGATTTATTTTGACAGATTCGTGTACACCTGGAGCAAGTGACTTCAGCCCCACTCGGCCGGGATCTCCTCCGTTCAGCCCTGGGCTCCTACAGCTGCTGGCAGCACCCAGCCATGTGAGGGGCTGGCCTTCCAAAGAGCCCTCTGAGCTGTATAGGGAAGCCGAATAGGCTTCTGTGAAGCAGAATCCACAAAGGGACCTGGGAGGGGTGGGCACTGCCATACCCAGCCCTCTGTCCCTGCAGGGAGCTAGAACTGACTGCAAGATGCCTCAAGGGTGTGGAGCAAGAGAAAAAGGAGCTGAGGCGCCTCACAGAGTCCTTACAGCAGATGCTGGAGGTGAGGGGCCACTGGCGGGCTGGCTGCCTGGAGGGAGCCATGGTTGGTTGGGCCACGTGATACAGTTTTTTCCAGCAGTGTTGCCCCAGAGAGTTATCTGCAAGGGAAACGGGGCACGAAGGGGAGCTGATCTAAAGGGTTTCTTCTCTGTGGACCATTGGGAACTCCAGCTGACACTTGAGGCTCAAAGCAGATCCCAGAGGGGCAAATTCAAGTTTGCCCTGGCTATGACCGTGGCCTTAGGAAATCTGCCTTCTTCAGTGCTTATATATATATATATATATATATATATTCAGATTCTTTTCCCCTATAGGTTATTACAAAATACTGAGCATAGTTCCCTGTGCTATACAGTAGGTCCTTGTGGGTTATCTATTTTACATACGATAGTGACTCACAAACAGA